TACTGCTCCTATTTCTTTACACACAGTAGGGATAGATGACTACACACTTTTGGTTCTATTTTGTTTGCTCATGACATCAAAGATTGGGAAGATTTTGGAATTTTTTTTTCTTTTCAAGCCATATGAAGGAATCCTTCTTCAGCATGTTTATTAAGAGTTTGCTGATAACACTATAGTTCCGGACAAACTTTTAGTAAGATCCAATGAACCCTCGAAGTCCTCTTGGGCCTTTAATCGAAGTAGAAACAGGTTAGGACGGCATTGCTTTAAATTTTTGAGGATTAGTTTTGACTCCTTGTTTGGAGATAATGTGCCCCAAGTATTCAATCCCCTCTTTGGCAAAGTAACACTTATGATCTCTTAGCATAAAGTCAGGGCTCCCTCAAGGTAATGTCTTCATTTACATACTGCGTACAATATGGCTAGTAATTCCTTCTCATGTACAGATAAGGTTTAATTTCATCTGCAGAGGGGCTTTGTTGATCTAGGCAATTGGTTTGTTTTTCTGCATAAGTACTGCTCCTATTTCTTTACACACAGTAGGGATAGATGACTACACACTTTTGGTTCTATTTTGTTTGCTCATGACATCAAAGATTGGGAAGATTTTGGAATTGTCATGGACCACTTGATCGACTTGTAATTAGTTATGTATATGGGGGTTACTCCCTTGATAGCTATGTGTATAATAATACTTCTCTTTTATGTAAAAAAGAAATACAAATTGTTTGGAGAAATCAGGTAACCTCAACACCGATGCATCAGTCATTGAATTCTTCAATTGCTCAAAGAATTTTTTTTTTTTCTTTTCAATCCATATGAAGGAATCCTTCTTCAGCATGTTTATTAAGAGTTTGCTGATAACACTATAGTTTCGGACAAACTTTTAGTAAGATCCAATGAGCCCTCGAAGCTCTCTTGGGCCTTTAATCGAAGTAGAAACAGGTTAGGACGGCATTGCTTTAAATTTTTGAGGATTAGTTTTGACTCCTTGTTTGGAGATAATGTGCCCCAAGTATTCAATCCCCTCTTTGGCAAAGTAACACTTATGATCTCTTAGCATAAAGTCAGTGCTGTCTGAGTAATGTAAAAACCTGTTGGAAATGCTATTTATGCTGTTCTCCAAAGGAGCTATACACCAAAATGTCGTCAAAGAATACAAGGACTCAAATATGCTTCAAAGATATGATTCATGAAGGCTTGAAATGTGATTAGTGCTTTGGTTAAATCAAAAGGCAGAATTTGGAATTCATAATGCCCATGATGTGTTCAAGAAGCTATTTTACAGACATTCTCCTCCACATGGATTTGGTGGTACTGAGATCTCAAGTCAATCTTTGAATATATCATTTGCCCCATGTAACTCATCGGGAAAATCATCAATAATTGGAATTGGTAACTTGTCCTTAACTGTAATTCCGTTAAGCTCTTTATAATCAATGCAAAACCTCCAAGTACCATTTTTTTTCTTTACTAACAGAACCAAGGATGCAAATGGAGAATGACTAGTGCGAATTATTGAAGCATAAAGCATTTTCTTCTCTTGCTGTCCAATTTTCTGTTTCTAGAAGTGTGAGTACCAGTAGGGCCTTAAGTTAATTGGGGAATTGACAGTCACAAGTGGTATGGCATGGTCCAAGGTTTTGGATGATGGTAATCCTTCAGGCTCTTTGAAAACAGCCTAGAATGATTGCAACACTTGGTCCATCTCATTGCTTGCTTTCATGGATGCATCTTCAAAAGGCAGGTCTATGGGCAAGCCTTCCTGAATCAAAGGCAATATACTATTCCTGTACTTTAGCTGCCTTCCCTCTTAAGCATTTTGTTGAGCTTGTCACTCGTCAATTCAACTAACCTGTCCAGCACCTTTATCCGATGCAATTTTACCTGGTGCCCTTCTATTTTTGAAGCTAACTTTGGACTCCGAAAATAAAAAATTATGGGGTTGTATATCCTCATCCAGTTCATCCCTGATCTCATATCATAACCACCCAATTTATTAACTTTGAAGTTGTAACAAAACAAATAATTCTGTATTTTCTACTGCACCTCAATGCATTCTTCTTCTGTGATCACCTTATTACCATTTGCCACTACCACTATGAGAGGCCTATTATGTATAACTTTATTTCTAGTCCTTCTGCCACAGCAGAATCAATAAAAGAGTGAGAACTTCCGCCATCCAGAAGTATCATGAAGGCCCTCTTTCCTAATGATCCTTTGGTCCTCACAGTTCCTCATGTATCAGGTATTCAATGGCTTGCAGCAAAAGGATTCCCGTGTCCTCAAGAGTCTCTTGGTTTTCCTCTTCCTTGTTTTCTTCATACTCCTCGTCTTCCTCCCTACATTTCTCCCCAGTTATAACTGTTTTGATCTTACACTGATGCCCCGGGAAGTTGCTATGATTTCCTTCCTGCAGGTTGTGGGTTGTAGCTTTTTAGGGTTTTTGGGTGTTGTTAATTTTGGTGCTTTTCATGAAGGGGTTGGTGTGGATTGTGAAAATATTTGGGACTGATAGGTGAATAATGAGTTTCTGGGCTGTAGGCAGGAGAAGATTGATAGCTAACTGGTTTAAGGCGATTCATAGCCTCCATGGATTGTTCTTGCTATAAGGCCAGCTCAAAGGCATGGTTTAAGGTGAAACATTTATGCATTTTTAAGATGGGTTACAACTCTTCCTTCAACCCACTGATGAAGCTGGAGATATAATATCTTTTGGATAATTTAGGATTTTCAGTAAGCAAGAAGGACCTCATCTCCTCAAATTTTTCCTGGTAGTTAAGTACTGAATTCTCTTGCACAAGGTTCTTAAATTCCTCCACCATATTAATTCCTGTCAAACCTCCAAATTTTCTACATAACTCTTCCACAAACATTTCTCAATCTATTTGTTTCGCAGGACTCGCCCATGTGAAACCAGATTTTGGCCTTATCTCTCAAGTACAGGGCTACTGTTTCTGCTTTGTTGTCATTAGCTATACCAAATGCCTGCAAATATTTTAGGCAATGTCTGATCCAAGATCATGGGTTTTGACTGTCAAAGACGAGAATCTCCACCTTCGGGATTAGGGTTCCCGATGGGTGATTCCATGGATTTTGTTTACTACTTCACCAACTTCACGCTGCTTTGGAGTGGGAAGAATACCCCATTCATGGGTTTGATAGGGAGGAGAATGGCTTATTGGCATAGTCGATTCTTCAGGCCATGGTCCTCCTCGTAGCATCTCCTTGAGCTGTTCGAAACGTTGGTCAATACTACAGCCTTCTCCTTGTTCTTGGCCATTGCCATAATATTCCCAAGTGGCTTGTTGGAATTGTTGGGTTTTGATACCAAGATTTCAGGAATTTTTGACATGGATACTAGAGGTGGTTTAGATTATGAGAATGAAGAGAATAGATGAGAGGAATAGGAAGGAGAAGAGAGATAGAGAGATAGGAAAGGGTAAGAGAAGAGAGATAAGAAAGGGTAAGAGAAGAGAGATAGGAAAGGGTAAGAGAAGAGAAGAGAGAAAACTCGGTAAGGATATTGAATTAGATGGATTTTGGATACTAATCATTATACTTGAGAAATCAGGCTACAATCTTACTATACCAAAATCGATGCAGAAATATAAATAAAATGAAGATGATTACAACAAACTAATCCTAACCAAATGTAATGCTTCAGCCACTTTTTTATTCCCTACTTGACCCTGAACCACTGCATGTCCGCTTGTACTTGCATGCCTTTTGTATGCTAATAAGGATTTGTCTGCTTTGCCCTCAAGCCCATTTTTCTTACCATGAGCCCTGGTTGTGACACATACACATTCTGTTGGGTAATTCTGTTGCATATACCCAATCAATTAATTCGAAAAAGGGGGAGCAGGAAGGGAATGACACCTATAATGTTAGAGCTCAGTAGTTTGGGACATCAGTACTGGGGATAATCAATATGAAGAAGCAAAAAAGTGGACACTTGAAAACTTAGTTGGAAAAGATTCTGTATTCTTTATCCAGATATGGGCTTCTTGTTGCTGGCACCACATCCAGCTGATTCTTCTGGTTGATCATAAAAATACATTCACCTTGTCTGTGCCTGTTAATCATGTTGGCAAACATGCTCATTTCCAGTATGATTAGATAATATAGTAGAACTATGAAATGTATTCAGTCAGGCATTTGACTCTCGTGAATGTAAATCAGGCAATGGTGAAACTTCCAAGATTTTTAATTAGATCTTATGATGTCCACTGTGTCTGTTTCTATTGCTTGTATCCTTGGTTATTTGGTTGGTATCATCATGCAGTCACAGGCATTTCAGCAGCTGTTTGTTTTATACTTTGTTTTTCGTTTTGGAAATTCTGTTGCCCCTTTTTTACTTCCTTTTACTTATGGTAGTATTTCTCGTTTTCTGATTATTAGTTATTAATTTCAGGCAATTGATGCAATAGATAATGGAATTAACCAGTATGATACGGACCAACCTCCCAAGATACGTGAATAATACACATTTATCTTCTAGAGTGGGAAGGTTAAACTTGGACTGGATAGAACCAGATCAATCAGCTGAGAAGGAGAATGAGGCCTTTCAAAGAGCAATGGCCTTAGCTGGCAGTGAGTTTTTGGATGTGAGGTTCTTTTGAAATTAACGAATTTATATATAACTGGTGTCCTTTCTATTTGTTGAATTATAATTTAAATTCAGTGTGGCCTTCAATAATGTCAGTTTCGGTTTTTCCCACTGATCCCTCTTTTTTCCCCTAAATTTAAGTGCGTAGCATAAATTGGAGTATGAAGCATTCAAGCGTTTATCATTCTATTCTACTTTTAATGATTGTTCTCTGTTTTCAGAGTCTTCGATATCATGCAAGATCTTGGTTACCGGCAAGATCAATCGTAATGGAATGTCTTGCAGCAAGATATGATCTTGATCCTAGTGGTGAAATCATGGTCTTGACAAAATTTTGCCCTGTAAGTAGGCATTAAATTCTGTTGGTTGCTGCTTTCCATGGATAAATTCTATTTCAAACTTTGTCTCAAAAGAATTCTACTTCAAACTATGTTCTATGCCACTAAAGCTTATAAGCTTGGATTGGTTTGAGCTTCCAATAATGCTGTTAAGGGAGAAAAAGTTAAATATTACTGTCTAAAATCTTTATTTAGGTATAATTTTTTGTTAGTTTTACTAGGATTCAGAAACGTTAGATTTAGTCCCTTTATTATTATATAATGTTATCAGTCCTAGGATTAGTATCTGTTAAGAAGTACAAATTTTCTTCATTAGGGTCAGGGTATATCAGTAATCTATCCCAAATCTTTCTAATATTTGTAATTATTATACTGTGGATTTTTGTAATTAGTACTGTTTTCTTTTTCTTTTTTGCTTTTCACTTGTATATATAGGGATCTAATATTCAATGAAATACACAATAATTCATTCTTCCATAGGATCTAATCTTGTGTTTATGAAGGTTGAAATAAGTATGATTAGGGTCTAGGGCTTTTAGAGAATCCTTTTATCTCTCGAATTTTTTCTTAAAAAAAGAAAAAAATTGAAGGGATTTCTATCTCTAATTGGGTTCTCTAATATGTTTTTTTGAGAAATTCTTTATTCATAGTCTTATTGATGAAATAACTTACATGTATAAGGAAGACAATTGCTACTAGTTCCCTAATATTGCAGGATCTAGTTTTACAGCCTGGTTTCCTATCTTATTTTGTTTCTAAATAACTCACTTTTGTATGTTTTGTTGTTTCTAATAAACAATCAAAGGTAGGAATTTTAGCTTGACACAGATTGACATAGGACAGTGAACTATGGTTTAGAGGGAGAATAAAATTGAATAAAAGAAAAAAGGTAAGTTCAAACCACACAATCACAGGCTTGTTGCGGTCAGAACCAAAATGTTGTTAGATCCCATCCAATGAGAGAAAATATAGTTCACACTCACAATCACAAGGTTGTTAGACACTTAATTCAGTGAAAGAAAATATAGGTTTTTAAATAAACAATCTATCTAATTTCTTTAAAAAAAAACAATCTATTTAATAATGATATGTCACCCGTCTGTTTAATATAGTTTTCTAAGGTGTTTACATAGTATGATATGATTAGAGTTATTGAATGAAAAACAATAACTAAATAAAGAATGAAATACTAAACTAATCATAAACCTATCTTGGTGTCCCTTAGGGGACATCTGAATAATACCTATCTTGGTCATTTGTAAATAAGCTTCATATCCCTTATAATACATAAATATTCCATAATATTAAAGCATATCAATTCTAAGGTCTTCTTATTCTGCATCACTAGGTTTTTAAGATGTTATCATTTTGGTGTTTTACGTTCATGTTGTGGTCTGTTGTCTTTTTGTAATTTGTTACTATCACTATCACACTTGTTCTCATGTAACACATGCTAGTGTGTGTTAGGATGTTGGATCAGTTTGGAGGCAGTTGTATGTTTGAATATATACCAGTGGTTGTAATGGATAGGCAGCTCCTGTTCTTAAGGGAACTGTTTTGCTAATCTCTAATGCAATAACTATATGTCTGCATTAGATTCCGATGCAGACAATTAATTTTAGAAAGTGTTGAGTATTTTTTTCTTTAGCCAAGAGATGATTGGATTCTCTCTTAGGAGCCATACAGTAATTAAAATGGGTAACAGGGGAAGATCTAGAAAATATTCTTCCCTTATTACTGAATTGTGTTTATGGTCCCTCCTTAAGTCGGGACCTTACCGCATAGCTTACCTGGTATTTCTTTCTTGGGAAGCAGATTATCACTAATTGTTGATAAATTAGTCCACTTTTGTCTAATAATTCCCTGACATCTAAAATTCTTGTGTTTAGTTTTGTCGGTAATCATCATGAGAATCTCAACAATTTGTAAAATGATTCACAAACAGAATTTTGAGCTCTTGTTTTTAGGAAGTTTTAAAAAAAATTGAGAACTGAACAAGATATAAGCTTTTAGCCTTCATGCATTCACTTAACCAAGTGAAAAAGAAAGTTAATTTGGTGTGAAAATGGAAAGGAGGTGAAATGGAGTAATTCAGCTCTTATGGCGAGTTTCAGATTCTAAATATATTTTATATTAAGAATCAAGGATGCAAGGGAGTTTTATTCAATCCATAGAATAAACATGAGTTTTTCATTGTGTAACTTATTGTAGGATGTCTTTGTTTTATGTTAATATTACATAAGGTAGGCTTTATTCAGATGATCTCATTGGATATTGCTTTTTGCAGTGGAAGCTACATTTATTTGAGCTTGAGCAGGAGATGAAACTTGAGCCTCCTATCAAATATGTTCTTTACCAGGTATTTGCTTAAACTTTAGAAAGAAGTATGCCAATTTTAGAAAATCTGAAACTCAGAATCGTCTTTGTTGACGTAGTCAAGGCAAGAATAGGAGTTCTATATTTGAAGTAGAAATAGGGGAAAATATTAACTTGTATTTTATAAATACCTGAATCTTAACTTGTATTTTCACTTGTACCTTAAGGAGTTCACTATTTTTTTATGTCTTTAATCAGGATCCTTTTTTCACTTTTCTGGTAAATCATGTTGAAAATGGACTGTCACACACTTTATATGTGTTATGTAAAACCACTATGAATTAAAAAATTGGCAATCAAGTTCTCAGTTTTCTCCAAAAGCACGCTACATATTGGTTCTCGTACACTTTACATATGTTTATTCAAATTACTTAGCTAGAAGTTATTATTAACTAGATTTATAAAGTCTTGAGTCAAATTTTCTTTTTACCAGAAAAATGATTACCATTTTATGTGGCTTGGGTTAAATGGTCTTCTTACCTGTGTTTCTTTTTACCCATCTCATGTTTGAAGTATGTTGCAGATATAGTTGGCAGTTGGTCATTTCACAGGTTTATCTAAAAGACAAGGTTTGGATATAGTGATAAAAAATTTGAGATGGTGCAGGATGACAGGAGCAGGCAGTGGCGAGTGCAGGCAGTGGCGGTATCTCCAGACAGATTTGAAAGCCGAAAGGCCCTCCCTGCTCAGTGGAATGGTCTGAGGGACGATGATCTATCAAAAGAGTCAGGCATACCCGGGTGTGTTTTCGTTCATATGAGTGGCTTCGTTGGTGGAAATCGGAATTATGAGGGTGCTTTGGCCATGGCAAAAACTGCTCTGAAGCTCTAATATGGATTTCAACTGTTGTTTATTTTTTGACAGTTTAGAGTTAATTCACAGACATTTTTTGGCACTTTGGGCCGTCGGTACAAGTTTATAGAGGAAAAGTAGAGGGTGTTGTACCATTTTCAACTTAGAATCTGCCGTTGTAAGTTTGGAAACAATATTTACACAGCAAGGGATATTTATTACTTGTAGGAAGAGAGAGTTTTTTTCTAGCTATGCAGTGTTAGAAATTAACATCCTCAAACCTGGAAAATAAAATGGGTCTCATGTGTTTGCAGAAGAACAACACAATATATATCACCTTCTAGCTTGTTATTTTTTGCACAATGTGGAAAACTTTGATTAACGTTACAAGAGTAATGGCATAATTGTCATGTGAGACTTAAAATAAAATAAAAAATAAAAAAATTATAAATTTTTAACCAATGATGTCAGCAAAAAATTTTACTTAAGAATCAACCGTTGAAATTTTTTTTTTTTTTTTGAAAAACAGAGAAAAGTGGAAAAGTCAATTAAAATTTGATCAAACTTAAATTTGATTAAGAAGCTGGTCCTCACTGTATAATAGATTAACAAGTCATTTTTTTTTTTTTTGAAAACTAAAATTTGATCAAATTAAAAAAAAAAAAAATTGAAAGCATGCGCCCCCTCAAGTTTTAAGTATCCACCGGCAAAACCCCATTGATAGAACTCAACAGTTCCCAACACCACCATGGCTGCCAGAGCTATCCTCTCCGATCTCCCTCTCTCATCGTCCTTCACCAAACCTTCTTCTTCCACATCCTTCTCCCCAAGACCCCCTCCTCTCTCATTCCCTTTCTCCTTACCTCGCCTTAAAACCCTAACCTTCAATTCCCCCTCTCACCTCTCCCCCACCATCACCACAGCCGCCGTTACTTCCGCTTCTGTTTCTTCCTCCTCATCCTTGAAATCCCGCCTCCGGAACGGGGATACCCTTTACGGGCTTTTCCTCCTATCATTCTCCCCAACTCTCGCAGAGATTGCCGCCCTCGCCGGCTACGATTTCGTCGTTATCGACATGGAGCATGGTCCGGGGGGCATTTCCGAGGCCTTACACTGCCTCCGCGCTCTCTCCGCTGCTGGTACCCCTGGTATCCTCCGCCTCCCAGAGAGCTGTCCCACGTGGGCGAAGAAGGCCCTCGATCTTGGTCCCCAGGGCATCATGTTCCCCATGATCGATTCCCCTAAAGACGCGAAGAAGGCGGTTTCGTACTGTCATTTTCCCCCCAAAGGGATCCGTGGATCGGCGCACACTGTTGTGAGAGCTTCGAATTACGGGGTGGATGAAGAGTATCTGAGTACTTACGAGGAGGAGCAACTGATAATGTGCCAGGTAGAGTCTGAGGAGGGAGTGAAAAAAGTGGAAGACATTGCGGCTGTTGAAGGGGTTGACTGCATACAGATGGGTCCTTTAGATCTGAGCGCGAGCATGGGGTACTTGTGGGATCCAGGGCACAAGAAGGTTAGAGAGATGATGGGAGTGGCAGAGAAGAGGGTGTTGGGTACGAAGCCTGGCAATGGCGGAGCCTACTTAGCGGGTTTTGCAATGCCGCATGATGGGCCGGATGATCTGCGGGCGCGAGGTTATCACATGGTGTCTGGTGCGGTTGATGTTGGGATGTTCAGAAATGCTGCTGTGGAAGATGTAAGGAGGTTTAAGATGGGTTTGATGCAGGGTTCGGATGATGAGAAGGAACGGGGAAGGGATGGTGAAGATGAAAAGTACTGGAGCGAGTGAGAGAATGAAATTCTACTCAACTTTTTCTTTTTTCTTTTTTTGGTTTCAGTTCTGTGTAAATGCAGTTCTTTGTCTGATCATGTTCATGAAGGTGAGTCTCAAAGAAAATGGTTTAGGTTTGATGTCTTATCGTTTTACGAATTTTTTGTGTTGTCTAAATTTTCCATGGAGGTAGCTGGAATTTCGATTTATACAATTCAACTTCAAACCAGAAGCTCAATAATTTCTCCTGCAAAACTTGCTTCAATGTAAATAATAAAAGTTAAATCAACAAGAAAAATATATAAAAAATGTTGTAATATGACTTCAAATTAATGGATAATAATTGTATTAGAAAAGATTATGGTGAATGCTGAAAATCCATTAATTAGAATAGATAACAGATTACAGAGTTTGTTCACCAACTGGGCCATAAAATTTTGTATACTATGCTTTGATCAAAGTGCTGAGTTAATTCCCTTGTATCAGCCACATTTTTTTCAATTCTCCAATCTAGGGTTTCCTCTTTTCTGCAAAATAGTTTCACTGTCAGCTGCAAATCCTTATGCATTTGGACTCTTTTCATACTGTTCTCCTATGCTTTTTCCACACTCATCAGGATTGCCTCTGATTATGCAACCAGTTAGTTATAAGTGAAAATCTGTAATTAATATTTTTTTAATATTAAAAATAAAAATAATAAATAAATAAGTAATATATATGTGTATTATATACATTATATAAATAAAAGTATTAAATACAGATAATATATATTCTTTAAAATTTAAAGTTAGAATATCAATATATAAATAATAAAGTTAGATATAACATATATTTCTTGTTGATTTTCCTTGTCTTTTAGGAGGATATTTTTTGAGAAGTTAAACAAGAATTGTAATTCATTCATTACAAGAAAAACTTATTTTTTTACCCCAAGTAACTCTTTTATGCTTGTAACTATTCCTTTATTTATTTGCAAATCTAATAAGCCAGCCATTATTGATGCGTAGAGTAGAATTTCTTGTCATTCGTTAAATTAATGTTTGAATTTACATATTAATTATGTATCTTGAGAATTCTTATGTCAATCTAAGTTCCAATCTTCCAACATTAGTCCCCATTTAAAAGTCAAGCAAAACATTCTAACTATACAACAATTAATAAAAATGTGATTGTAGCTCTCTTTATCATGATTGCGCAGTAAATAAGGGTTCGAGTCTTTATATTCCGTTTTAATGATGCTTGGTAGATATTTGTTTAGACAAAAACTCAATCTTAGATGGATTTTCCTCTTTGTTTCTATCTGTTTCTCTCCCTCTCTAAATAGTAGTATTCTCTTATTTCTCTCTTTTTTAGGGATGCAAGCAAAAGGGAAGCAACTCACACTAAGATACCATAACAAATGATTACAAGCAAATGACCAAAAAAAATATTCCCAATCATAGACTCTCGAGTACTTCACATGGGGGAGTCTATTCTTCTTGGACGAGTTATAACTAGATATTCATCTCTTCTAAAACACATTTATCATGTGAATAATAAGAATTCTAAAAATTTTGGACACTTGATTGTTCATTCATTCACAACCGAACACAACTCTCCTTATAAATAATTCTCAACTTTAAGTAAATCTCCTAAGAATTTAAGAATCTTAATCCTATCCAGCATGGTCAGGTTTTAACAGTTCTACATCAGCAAAACCAAGAGCTTTCATCAATTTAGAGTTTTATCAAGATAAGAGAAGAAAAATCTTTTTCTACAAGTCTTAGTCGAGATTACACTCTTCTTATATTTTCTTTTGGATTTTCTCTTAGATTTTTTCTTGATTTTCTCATGGATGAAAGTTTGTTTTCTACTTCAGTTAGGAAGTTGTTTAAAGCAATTTCAACTCAATTTCTTCAACAATAATTAATTAAATATTTGAGTCCAAATCTAAGTATAATAAAGTATGGAGAAGTCGATCACAACACCAATATTTATCAAGAGAGAATTTTTATTTTAATTATGTTTATACTTGTTTAAAATAATATTTTATTAAAATCATAGATAATAATGCAATTTGAGTTTTTCTAGGAATTAAATTTTGAATTCGAAGAGAATTAATAAGGTTTATACCTATATAAATGCTTTACTCTTTTGGTTGAAAAGACTTAGATATTTGAGATCAATAAATTAAGTTTCTCGCTTTGCTTAGCTGTTGGCTATGTTGCTCTTTAAAAAAGTTTCTTCAACCTTCTCGTCAAGTGGGGAATTGGTGTCTACTTATTAAAGTAACTTGTGGCGTTTTGATCAATCTCTTTTCTTGAATTAATTTTAATTTAACAAGATATTTTTTGTGACATTCTAATAACTTCATTTATCCAAATACATATCAGGAAGCCACTTAGGATTTAGTAAAGTAGGAGTGGTAAATTAAGAAATGTGCACCAAAAGGCAAAATAGTAAAAAAATTAGGGTTAGGATTTGTTAACCCTAATCATCTCATCAATCCTGCAGTTGGTGCCAATCCATCACCAATTCATCTTGTGGCCGCTGTTGCGGCTAATAATGGGAAGAAAAATTTCAGCCATGTGATTTGGGCCACCAATGGAGTTTTTCTTTATTGTGTCAAGGTCTATAAAAGGCCCCTTTCACTATTTTGTAATCATCAATTGAAATTAATCAAAAATATTACCTCTATTTTTCTTTTCAGATTATTCTTCGTATTCTTCACTCTCTCCTTCTTCTTCTCTATTTTTTCTGAAGTCAAAATCTATGTCAAAGGCTTCTAACAAGGTAATATTATAGCAGGAAGTAGTCGAGTCCTCTATCGGTGTCGTATCTCGCACTTAGCCCAAAAAGAAGGCAACAGTGGTCAAGCCAAAGAATCCGGAGATGATCACAGAAGGATGTCGATCATAAACTCTTCGCATTCATGGAAGAAGTATACAAAATGATACATGAATTCTAGCATCAATTTAATTTCCTGGCGAAGCTGATATGCGATCAGATGCTGCATCAGGAGAAGCCGAGTCCAGCTGACCAGGCAATAATCGCTCCAATCGGGCTGCACAGAGACTGGCCGCACACTTTCGTACGCGATGAAACAATACGTGTTGGTGCACTGTGCCACAGAACTCTAGCCCCGAAAGACCAGATGGCAATCGTGCACAGGCAGAAGGCATTTCTGCCTACCCCCTTTGCGCTCAAGACCACAGATGGGTTGAGGATGAATTCGTTGCTACCTTTTATGCCCGAGGAAACATAGATAATAATTTATGGTCCAGGAGCTCCCCAAATCCCTAACATTGAGTTTCTCGGTTTGGAACCATTTACTGGCCTATACTAAACCAGTCTAGACCGAATCGATGTGAACTGGTCCGACCTAACCAGATCTAGTTTAAATCAATCGCGATCTGACCTGGCCTAACCCGACTCGGTTTGATTGAACCGACAGGTCGTGATCCAATATAGTTTGATCTGAACAGGCTTAGTTGCAGCTGGAATTGGTCCTGACCAAATCAACCCAATGAATCCTATGCATTGAATCAGTTCTACCCCACTTTTTTTGCTTATAAGGTGAAAATTTTATTTTTTGAATGTGTAAGCCCCTGTGGGGGGGTTTGAATATACCCCCCCATATTTTATGATTCTCAATATTCTGGATGAGCAAAAAATGGAGATTGAATCATTATATTTGGGAGAAGTTGCTGATATATGATATTGAGTGATAAGCCAAATTCAATGTCATGGATTAGGAATATTTATAAAGAACTGTGTCGTAGATTGGGAGACCATCGTGAAAGGATTTCATAGAAGAGTTTACCAAACTATCTCAAATAGGTACTATCTCGACTATTTAAAACTGTAAGACTTAGGAAAGGGAATACTGAATATGTACACACATAGTTCATTACATAGAGTTAGGGGTATATATATATAGAAGAGGGATCTATATATGGAAACATAAATCACATTGTTAATGCTAGAAAATCAACTAATAATTATATAAAAATATTTCGTAATATATTTTATAATATTCTATCACTTTCCCTCAAACTGAAGTATAGATATTGATCATGCTAGCTTGTTACCAAAGATATCCAATCCGAGTTCCATTCAAAGCCTTTGTGAATATATCACCTAATTGTTTTCATATGTCACATAACAAATAGAAATCAAGTTCTCCTGAATCTTCTCACGAATAAAGTGACAATCAACCTAAATGTGTTTGCTTCTTTCATAGTACACTAGATTTGAAATAATATGAATGAAACTTGATTATTACACCATAATTTTACAAGTAATATGGGATTCAAATCCACTTCCACTAAGAAGTGTTGTATCTATAAGACTTTACATGTGGACTAGGCCATATCTTTGTATTCAGACTCTGCATTAGATGGGACACAACAATCTGCTTCTTACTCCTCCACGATACCAAGTTCCTACCAACGAAAACACAATAACCTATAGTGGATCTTCTATTAATTTTAGATTTAGCCCCATCAGCATATGCAAAGCATTCAATATGAGTGTGTCCATGATTGTTAAATAGTATATCAAGTCTTATAACACCTTTTAGGCAATACAAAATATGTTATAAAACCTCTTAATGTTTGACTTTAGGTGCAAACATAAATTAGCTAACAACACTGACAGTATATGCAATATCTGGACGAGTCAGTATGAGATAATTCAATTTTCTAACTAATCGTCTGTACCTTTTCATATTATCAAGGGGGTCACCATTATCTTTAGTAAGGTATACATTTAATACCATTGGTGTGTTATATAGTTTAGCTCCCAACTTTCTAGTTTTTGTAAGTAAATCAAGTACATACTTCCTATGATATAAAAAAATTCCTTTCTTGTTTCTTATTATTTTTACTCCCAAGAAATATTTTAACTGACCCAAATCTTTAGTATGAAACTTAGTATGTGAGAATGATTTGAGATAGGATATTCATGCACAGTCATTACCTGTAATAACGATATCATCAACATAGATAACAATAAGTATAAGACCAGTTGCTGACTATCCATAAAAAATCGAATGATCACACTTATTCTTCTTCAGTCCGAATTTCATATCTTTTGGATCTAAATTTTCACACTAGGTCGCATATCTCGAATATAACAGGTGGTACTAAATATCTTAGGTTGCACCGGAAACAAAGACTTGTCTGGAAAAAGAAGACTGTAAAGAATATCTCCATCAAGTATTGTAGATGACAT